TATTTTCAAGATGTATGTGTGCTCTAATTTTAAATTTAACTTCTTTGCTTTTTTTAGACACGTGCTCATCAGTCTCAAAGGATTGTCAAGAGGGGTTTCTCCTCCAGGTGCAGACCGGCGAGCTCACCCATTCGTCCCCAAGTGTTGCGGAGCCACAGGTAGGTGGCGTTGAGTTGCCTTGGTAGAGGCAGAGGTGGCCCACCCAGGCCAGGGAGGGCAGGCTCTGCTGTGGCCCTGGGCGGCGACACTTGGAGTTGGTGACAAGAGATCCCTGCATCCCTGTCCCCCATCTTCTTGATGAGCAAGAAAACTAAGATGATTCCAAATGCCTCCTTATCTTCTGATGTGGTTCAGCCTTTCAAGAAAATAGAAACAGTATTTTCTTGTAGCTTTAAGTTGGCTGCATTTCACATACAGTCAAAACAAGTGGATATTTTCCGTGAATTAAGAGTTCCCCAAATCAAAATTTTATTATATTATTTTTATTTATGATTCTCAATCGAAATTAGTGGGATCAAAGGCAAATATAGCAAGAATACTTCCCTAAGCTTCAGCTAGTGGTCCATTCACTTACTACATGCTCCGTTTAATCAGAAATGCCAACAATATGAAATAGTTCTCTCCGTGGGAGGAAATTCGAGCTGTGAACTTACTATGATGTAAAAGTAGGCACCTGGGGAGAAATATCAGGTCACAGGCTCCACTCGGTTTCCGTTCTCCCTAGAAAAGCCCGGGTTCTATTCCGCCCTTCCCGACCTCATCGGTGAGGTGCTGAGCGGAGCTGCTTTTCTTGGGGTTGATTTTGTCTGGCCTCCAGCTAATGGGTTCACCTCAGAGCCTCCCAGGCTGAAGAGCCGCATTTCAGAAAGCGACACCACAAGCCCTTGGTGGGTGGCTTCTCTCTCAGAATGGTATTTCTATCAGGGGTTGAACGTGGTAGTTGTCACCGTGGCCATCCTGGCCGATCGACTGACAAGTCAAGGAAGCACCACCTTCACAGAACATGAAGCGTGGTCCAGACCCTGGCACTGCCTGCCTGGGGCACGGCCATGCTCCCCAGACAGGAACACAGACTGCGAAATGTGGGCAACACCTCTGAGACAGCGGCTACCCTCTGTCTGCAGACTCCTCCCAGGAAACCAGTATCTTCTGGAGAAATAGGACACCATGTGGACCCTAAGATGAAAAAGGAAGAAATCCGAGAAAACCGACAGCCAGATGGCAAGGTAGGTACTGTAGGCGTGCCAGTGTCCCCAAGCAAAACTCCCGTGTGCTCTGTGCGTTGCACTGTCCCCGCGGCCATGGGACTGACCCAGATCTTCTACTGAACACCTCTGTGAGGTCTCCAGTGTCACTGACTGCCAGTTCACTTCCAGTAAATCAAGCAACACGCTTTTCAAGAGGAAAACCTCGTACACCCCCCAGTACCTCTCAGCCCCCACATTTCAGCCCTCAAGGAGAGCTTCCGTTCCCGAAGGCTCCCTCCAAGGTGGTGGTGGTGATGGTGGTCCTTAACTCGGGAAGGGGTTGGAAGAGGCACACGCCCAGGGCTGCAACTGACCTCTCGAAAGCTCCGAGGAGACCCCACTGCCGCCGGGGGCAGTGCCCGTCCAGCTTCTTATTCAACTCAACGGTTCATTCATCTTGAGCCTCTTTGTTGGCCTGGTAGAAGCTGGGTGTCTCCCTTGGTCTTGTTTGTGGAGCGGACTCTGGCCTTAGTGGAGGTGGATTTACACTCTTGTAAGCAGATAAAACATTTGAATAAAGGAACTACGGGGAATGTCACTTGCAGTAACAGCTTGAATTCATTTCAATGTTTTTTCCTTTAGTGTGTATAGGTTTGTTAGGAGAAAAAAGAAACCTGTATAATTTAAATACTCTATCTTGCCATCTTAATAGGTGGGTGTATGAGAAATAAGTGATCTTTNAGGAGGATCAAGGGGGCCATGGGCGAGTCAAGAAAATGTGCCCTCGGTCGAGTCGCTGTCAGAAAGTTACCTTAGCACCCTTCACGGCCCCACTGGCACCTGTGTTGTAAAGACGAGGCGTGGGCAGGGCCCTCGGGTGTGGCGCCTTTGTGCCGAGCACCCCTGCCAAGCCCACCTGCCGAGTCCATGGCACTGCGTGCTCAGCGGGCTGGGACCTGAGCCCTCTCCTGTCTACCGTCCAGGCCTCTTTGGGCCCTGCTCTGTCTGTCTGACTCTGGACCCCTCCTGCCTGCCCAAGCACCGCACCGTCCCCATCCTGAGTCTTCCTACCAGTGTCCCCACCTCTCCAGACTGCTCTGGCCTCTGCCAGGGTGATCGTCCTGAGTGCAAGGCGGGTCCTCCTGTGCCAGGGCTTCCAACTACCTGCCTGTGGCTCCTCAGAGTAGGGTTTGTGCTCCTCGGTGTGGCAGGAGGACTCTTCCCCATCTGGGATGTACTTCCTGGCCACCTTGCTCTCCTGCCATCCCCCTCACGCCCCCAAACAAGACCTCAGTTTACCCACTTGTGGCTTTGTGCTTTCTGCTACTTCCACGCAGAATGGCACACCCCTCCCCCATAGGCCTGTCATGCTCCCGTCTTATCTTGGCTGGTGGTTGCTACTTTCCTGGTGAGGCTGCCCTGGCTGTCCCTGGAGCCTGTGATGCTGGCTCACCAAGGCTCCCTGTCTCTCTTCACACGTCCAGTAGTCGATTGTCGCAGGAATCAGGAGTTTCTCTTCCTTGTCTGTCTCCATCCTGGACCACAAGCAGCTTCAGGGCCGGGAGGACGCCTTCTCACCTGTCCCTCTCCTGACCAGCATAGTACTCGGACGAGAGTGGTGGGCAACACATACGTGATGGCTCATGTAACAATCCAGTAAATAGTCCGTGTTTCTTACGGGATCCAGTGTCACCAGCTGTCGAGTTGACCTGACCTGTGCCTAGTAATCTCATGAACAAAAGAGAACACACTCATGGTCAGCTTAAGTCAGACTTAGAAATCACCTTAGGAGAGTGGTATTTTCAAGATGTATGTGTGCTCTAATTTTAAATTTAACTTCTTTGCTTTTTTTAGACACATGCTCATCAGTCTCAAAGGATAGTGAAGACGGGTTTCTCCTCCAGGTGCAGACCGGCGAGCTCACCCACTCGTCCCCAAGTGTTGCAGAGCCACAGGTAGGTGGCGTTGAGTTGCCTTGGTAGAGGCAGAGGTGGCCCACCCAGGCCAGGGAAGGCAGGCTCTGCTGTGGCCCTGGGCGGCGACACTTGGAGTTGGTGACAAGAGATCCCTGCATCCCTGTCCCCCATCTTCTTGATGAGCAAGAAAACTAAGATGATTCCAAATGCCTCCTTATCTTCTGACGTGGTTCAGCCTTTCAAGAAAATAGAAACAGTATTTTCTTGTAGCTTTAAGTTGGCTGCATTTCACATACAGTCAAAACAAATGGATATTTTCCGTGAATTAAGAGTTCCCAAATCAAAATTTTATTATATTATTTTTACTTATGATTCTCAATCGAAATTAGTGGGATCAAAGGCAAATATAGCAAGAATACTTCCCTAAGCTTCAGCTAGTGGTCCATTCACTTACTACATGCTCCGTTTAGTCAGAAATGCCAACAATATGAAATAGTTTTCTCCATGGGAGGAAATTTGAGCTGTGAACGTACTATGATGTAAAAGTAGGCACCTGGGGAGAAATATCAGGTCACAGGCTCCACTCGGTTTCCGTTCTCCCTAGAAAAGCCCGGGTTCTATTCCGCCCTTCCCGACCTCATCGGTGAGGTGCTGAGCGGAGCTGTTTTTCTTGCGGTTGACTTTGTCTGGCCTCCAGCTAATGGGTTCACCTCAGAACCTCCCAGGCTGAAGAGCCGCATTTCAGAAAGCGACACCACAAGCCCTTGGTGGGTGGCTTCTCTCTCAGAACGGTATTTCTACCAGGGGTTGAACGTGGTAGTTGTCACCGTGGCCATCCTGGCCGATCGACTGACAAGTCAAGGAAGCACCACCTTCACAGAACATGAAGCGTGGTCCAGACCCTGGCACTGCCTGCCTGGGGCACGGCCATGCTCCCCAGACAGGAACACAGACTGCGAAATGTGGGCAACACCTCTGAGACAGCGGCTACTCTCTGTCTGCAGACTCCTCCCAGAAAACCAGTATCTTCTGGAGAAACAGGACACCATGTGGACCCTAAGATGAAAAAGGAAGAAATCCGAGAAAACCGACAGCCAGATGGCAAGGTAGGTACTGTAGTCGTGCCAGTGTCCCCAAGCAAAACTCCTGTGTGCTCTGTGCGTTGCACTGTCCCCGCGGCCGTGGGACCGACCCAGATCTTCTACTGAGCACCTCTGTGAGGTCTAATTTAAATACTCTATCTTGCCATCTTAATAGGTGGGTGTATGAGAAATAAGTGATCTTTCTTATTTGTAGGATAAGAGCATGGATGAATCAGTCACCCAATCTTAGCAAATCTCACAGGTGTGCATACAAGAAATAGGTTGCCCACTCTTTCCTGTCCCGGCTCGATCCTTCCTTTCTCCCACAATGAGGATCAACTACCATCTGCCCACAGGTCAGCGGCTCCCCTGCCGCACTCCTGTCCCCACGGCTTTACCTCTCATCTCTCGTCCTGTGCCTCTCTCTCGCGTGTCTGGCACTGAATATGCTGAAATTTTTTGCTTGTTTATTTTTATAGCATGAACTCAAAAAATTATAATTGATCTTATAATTTTTTTGTGTAAAATTTTAAAAACTTACTTGTGCTTTTTCATTGCTGAGAGCTAATTGGTTCTTTAAACCCTGTTGGAGTTTTTACTGATTGAACTGAACACAACCTTACTTCATTTGCCTCGTTGGTTTGGGAGTCGGCAGGACGAGGAATCTTTGTTCAAACCTCAATCAGATAGGATGGCCGTTGCATGAGCCAGTGGGTGGCATGCACCACGGCATGTTGTTTGACACATTGCTGAGGACTTTTTCAGAAGCCAAGAACTAGCCTTCTTTCCCTGTATGTTTTCTCAGTTGAATTGACTCCTCCATTTCTGAGCTGTGGTTAAGAATAACAGTGTGACATAATTAACAAAAACACATTTTGCCATTTGGAATTTTCATATGCCCATATATTAATGCCCAAAATCTTGAGATTATTTCCGTCAGTTCTTTTTCCCTTTTGCTAATTTTACATGAGTGATAGTCTTAAGCTGAAGACAAAGATATTCTTTTGTAAATTCCTAGTCCAGCATTATTCATATAAAGTTATATAATATTTGCTGATTGTTAATTGAAATTAATAAATCCTTGGGATGGGGTAGAGTAGGATGTGGATTAAAAGGATGGCATGGAAAGGAAAGAAAAATCTACAAAAGATAATTTTTTACATAGTACCTACTACAACTTATATGGCCCAGCGTTCCAAATTTACCAAATCCGATGGCCGTGAATTATCTAGACTGATGGCAAATGAATAACACGACCTCATGAAAACAGACATTCGAGGGACAAATCATAACATTTATTCATTATTCATAATCAAATTCAGGACAAGGGATTTGGTACTATCAACCTACTGAATATTTTATTCATGGAAATATAACAGTTGGTGTTGACCATGCCATGCAGGCCATAGTCATATAATAATTTTCAGTGGAAGAAAAAATAACGAAACCACAATAATCATGCCTTCAATAAGCTGTCACCTCAGAACGTTTGTGTTTCCATGAAGGAGGAACAGAAACTTAGCGACGACTGTCAGATCATCACCTTTCCCAACGGCACTGAGGAGACACGTGCTGATAAGAAGACGACCGTCATCAGGTTCTTTAATGGCGATGTGAAGAAGATCAAGCCAGATCAGAGAGTGGTGTGTACAATGAATGCGTTTATCTTTTTTTTTTTTAATCAAAACCCACCTAATTATTAGGAAGTATTTTGCACATCCACCCCTTTTTCCTCTGGTGTTCAAGGACAAGGGGAGGGGATTGGGCAGAATACAGGCTTTGGGAGCAGAACAGTTGCTTGTAAATCAGGCTGTTTTGCTTCCTTGCTGCTCTTGGCAGGTATATTAGTCTGTTTCTGCTGCTTATAACAAAATACCTGGAACTGGGTGATTTGTAAGAAAATTAAATTTATTGCTTACAGTGTTGGAAGCTGGGAAGTCCAAAGTCCAGGGTATACATTTGGTGAAGGCCTTGGTGGTGGCGACAGTGATGGCTGAGTATCACATGGTGAAGTGGTGGAGCAGAGAGACACTAACCTCTCATGTGCTCTTCTTGTAAAGCCCTCAGAACCACGCCCCTGACCACCATTATTAATCCATTCACTATGGCATGGTCCTACAACCCAATCACCTCTTCAAGGCCCCACCTTTATCCATTACTAATAATAGTAATAGGATTTCCCACCTTCCCAACAGTCACAGTAGGAATTAAATTTGCAATATATGAACTCTGGGGGACACAGTTCGATCAATCCACAGCAGCAGGTGAGAGTCTTTGTCATCTGGAACCACAGATTTCCAGAGAGGAACCACCAGCACCCCTCCTGCTTGTGAATTCTCACACTATCATCCAGTAGTTGCTTTAAGCCTAAGTCTTTGTAAAATGTGAGTCGTAATTAGGACCTAACTCAAAAGATGGTTATGAAGATTAAATGACATGAAACATTAAATAATGCCCCTATCACAGTACCCTCTAGAAATGCAACAGTAAACTGTAAATGTGCACTAATTATAGGATTAGCATTAATATTGCAACAAAGTTAGGCAGCGTCAGGAACTAGTTAGTATCTAATACAAGCTAGAGATCAGTTTGACAGAGGTGGGTTTTACTTTTCTCTGGTCTAACAGCATTTACACAGCCTGGTGGGCAGGTTGGCAGGGGTGCCAACGCCTTGCAGTTGTCCAGCTGGTGGAGAAGAAGGCATGGGTTTTGGAGCCACAGGGATTGAGCTGAGTCTGCACTGTCAGGCGACACAGCCTGGTGGGCAGGTTGGCAGGGGTGCCAACGCCTTGCAGTTGTCCAGCTGGTGGAGCAGAAGGCATGGGTTTTGGAGCCACAGGGATTGAGCTGAGTCTGCACTGTCAGGCAAGCTGTACTAAACCCAGAAAGCTCAGCTTCTGCATCTAAGAAATCAGGAAGTCCTTATTTTTGGGGTCTGGTTTTCATCTGGGAACAATCCATCTACCCTCACCTGGGGACATTTGCAATGTCTGGAGACATTTTCGGTTGTCACAACTGGGAGGTGCTACTGGCATCTGGCGGGTGAGGGCCAGGGATGCTGCTGAGTACCCTCAATGCATAGGAGGCCCCACCCAACAAAGAGTTATGCAGCCCAAATTGTCAATATTGCTGAGACTGGGAAAACCGTGATAGGTTATTACAAGGACCACGTGCATGCCATGCATGTGTGGCTTGGTACATATTAAGTACTCAGCAACCGATAGCTGTTAAAACTACGGTTGTAACTGGTGAAAGCAGGAGCTGCATTCGAGGTGCGTGGGGAGGAAGACAGTGAGCGTGGCGGCTGGAGGCCCTCCTGGTGGTGGGGAGCCACACGTGTGCTTGTGACCCAGTGGGATGACCACATATCCGTGTTGTGTTAGGGGACTACATGTGGGAACAATTAGACTCCACAGAGTTTGGAAGTTTTATAGGCAAGGTCTCCAGGGTGGCAATTATCCAGATAATCCAGGGTATAACTTGATTTTAACTTAAGAACACCTGGGTAATTTACAAATAGCCACTGGAAATAAGGCCTGGAAATAAGGACAGGGTTTGTAGGGGATTGAGAACAATTTTTTACCACCAAAACATTATCAAATTGTATTCTATATATCTTCTTCTTTAGGATGATCAACTTCACTGTTTTTGACCAAGCTTTGGGATACAGATTCGGAGGCCCTGGGAGCTCGGAAGGACTGCAGAGCTTGTCTCTGTGTTTTGCTCTGTTTTATTTATTTTAGCGAGAAGGCATCTGCCTATCGCTCTGTCATTTCACCCTGGCTAAAGCCTTTTGGCCCTTTCTGAGGGGGATGTTGGCATCTGGAGTGTAGACTCGGCGGTGGTAGCTCCACTGCAGGCTGTTCCCCTGGCCTGAGCTGACCCACATGTCCCCTTTTTCACAGGGAAGTGCAGACAAGGGGAGCCCGGACGCCACCTTTACACAGTAGACTGTTACGATGTCGCAGCCCCATGGAGTCATACGAGATAGGGACCTCATAGCGTACCTCAGCCCTTTAGACTCTGAACGCTGAGTGTCCCTCCCCTCGGGGTAACAATAGTAGTTTCTCAGCCAGGCTTGGGGGCTGTAGACACGCAGGGGATCGGTCAGGTGAGGATGAGGTGGGGGGAGAGCGCAGGACCCTGGTGCAGGCCACGGAAGGACCTTCGCCCGTTTTGACCTTCCGCACAGTCAAAGTAAAGGTGTTGGAGGCAAGCACGTGGCCTCACCAGGGGGCCGAGGTGCCTCTGGTCCCCTGAGGGAAGACGCCCCCATGAGTCGGGTGTGGTGAGCACTGTGGTGATGGAGAGGCGAGCAGTCCCTGCTTTCACGTGACCTGTGGACACACGGTCATGCCTGAAGGACACCTCTCGAGAGTGCAGCAGTGACAGCCCCGCGATCTGGGCACCACAGCTTTGTAGAAACACATTCTCGTGGCCTTTTTCCCTGATGGGCAGAGATATTGTGACCCACATAGGTGACAACACGTGGTGACCAGCCATGCTGTCAAATAGAAGTCAAGTGAAATGTCTTCCTCCCGTGTTCTCACTTTGAAAACAAACATATACGTGTGATTGCCTTATGTTTCTGAATCCTTACTTTTTAAAAAATGTCCCCCTCCCTGCTTGATGGCTTTGGCGCACTCAACCTCAGCACTAGGGAGCCTCTCTCTCCTGCCCCCGTGCACCCTCCTCTCCCACCAGGGCTCCTACCCGCTTGGCCTTCTGCCACTTTGTTGGAACCCAGCAGGGGCCACAGCTGCTGGACGTTCAAGAGGCACAGCCCTGGGCAGCGGATGAGCAGTCAGGTTCACGGTGGCGGGCACCTGGCTCATGCTCCCAGTGCCTGGGCCTGGATCTGCAGGGGCCCCACGGGGCTGCGGGGGTCAGAGCGCATCCAGGGAATGGACTGAGAGCTACGCCACGGTCCAGCAGACTCCCCGACTAACGAAAAACCCTGTATCTGTGGCTTTGCTGAAGAGCCCCTCTGCCCAAGCCTCACCGCTGTGTCGCCCACGACCGAGGTCGGGCCTCCCCCAGCTACCGGGTGGCGCTCTCGCCCACCCGCAGGAAGCACTGAACGGGGCTAAGTCCAGGCTCAAGAGGACAACAGCCGCTGCCTCCCGACACGGGTGTCTCTGGTGTCCACAGGTTCATTACTCTGCGACTGCTCGGACAACACACACGACCTATCCCAGTGGTCTGGTGGTCGTGCAGTTTCCCAACAAGCAGACAGGTGAGTGGTGACGCTGCAGGCCTGCGTGGCCCGTGCCGCCCGCGCGCCTGTGCTGGGGAGGGCGGGTGGAAATGCTAGGCTAGCACGCGTCGGAGCCTTGTGGGCAAGATCTCTGTGACGGCAATTGTCCAGATAACTCGGGGCTCCATGAAAAGCAATGTGCAGGTGGTATTCCTAATGTCCTCAGTGTCCCCAGAGTTGTCACCAGTCTGTGTGAAACAAGAGCAGATCCGTCTTCCTGCGTAGCCACCCTCTTTGTTAAAACTGACAAGGTCCTAATCCCGGGCCAAGCTTCATAGTTTTCCAAAGGATTGAGGTCAGATCTGCAGTGGGGAAGTCACCTCCTGGTTTGGGGGCCACGTGTGCCCCAGAGGAGCCATGCTGAGGAGGGCCCGTGAGCGGTCAGCAATTTTCCACACTGACCTCTGCCAGACCTGGCCACCAGCAGACCTCCAGGCTGTGGGCTATGCCAAGGCCGCTGCGACTGAAGCAGAATTCACATCAGAGCATCAGCCCTTCACACACATTCCCTGAGAGACGGCCCCTGGCGCTTCCTGACCATGAAAGCCACACCACTCGGTTCCTGCTGCTGGCCTTGTCGGCTCAGGCTCTGTATCCGCACTTCATTCTCCAGTCCCCGGGTCCTGACGTAGCCGTGGGGTGGGCAGTACCCCCCAAAGGTTCTCAGAGCACTTGCAGACGACAGCGGCAGCAACGGCAGACGTGTTCTCTGGCCCAACAATTAGGTTCAGAAAATGCTGGGATAATTGAAGCTATATTGTCTTCCTATCTGCAGTTCTTTGGGTCCTTAATGCTCTGCTGTGTGTTAGGACTTCTCAGAAAGGGGTGGGAAGACAGAGATCGTTGTTTCATGGATGGACGTGATGACAGAGTGCTTTTCTTCGTGGACTACACGTGAATATGCTCCTTAGCACACCTCTTGGGAAAATATATAGGGACTCCATAATTAGGAGGCTTTGTTGTTGATTTTTAACTTAGGTCTTTCAAAATCCAGCAGAGGGGTTACTTTGACATCAGCTGAATCTATGCTATATGATATGACTATATTCTTTGTGAAAAACATTCTGGTCCTCTGGATTTTGTATATGTGTGTAGTTTCCTGCCTGATTTCTAGCAACGGGCATGGTTAACTCTGGCTTCTTTGCATGGGAAAAGTGCAACTTCCTGCTTTGGGGTCAATCTGAAAATAAGACCTTTTACCGGGCTGATCCGTGGATGTGTGACACTTCCTATGTAATGTCCTCGAACATCCTGGACCCCTGCAAATAGCTTTGAAATTGCCTTCAGAGCCACGAAGTCATAAGGAAGGGTGTAGCGGTAACGTGCCCTCAGTGGTAGCAGCACTGGGGGATGGTTTTTGGGAACAGCCTCAGAGTGACTGTGTACAGGGACCAGGCTCCTTGTTTAATACACAAGTGATGATTCACTTGTTTAACTTAAAAAGGCTCATTGATTTCTTTCGTGTCTTTAAACCACAAGAGTACTTCGTATGCGTCAGGTGCTTCGTGGTTCTGTTGTTGTTTACTATCTACTAGAAGTGGGTCAGTATCTTCCTCAGTTTTTCAAAACAAAGCAGCTGAAATGAAAGTGACACTTACCTACACTGCGATGGAAGTCGCCTCTGCGAGTCTGTGATACACAACATCAAAACGGTTCTCATTATTAAGCAGTCTGGTTAAGCAAATAGCATGCAAGTGCATCTACGTCCATTTCCTGCTCTAATTTTCTCACAATTAGGCGATTGCTCTTTTTCTTTCCAGGAAATGTGATAGTCAACCCAGAACGTGTGTGGCAGCTGCAGGCTGGTGTTGCGTAGGAATATCACGTGGGGCCATCAAACTTGACATTTCAAAGAGATTAAGATATAGGGTCACAATGTGACAAGGTGCTATGGAAAATGATAAAATATTATGTTGTGATTGGTGTAATACTGGAAATGAATCTTAATGTGATCTTTTCCTCTTGTTTTAATTTTGTCGATTTAATTTTTCGTATCGTAATAAGTGTGTACATAGTATTCTGAAAACATGGTCTATGTTTCTTTCTTTTTTTATTGAAACATAATCGATTGTGCGTATCTGTGGGGTACAGTATTTTTTTTTTTGTCTTTTTCGTGTGGTCACGAAGGGGATCGCAACCCTTGGTGTGGTGTCACCCGCACCGCGCTCAGCCAGCGAGCGCACCGGCCAGTCCTATATAGGATCCGTACCGTGGCGGGAGCGTCGCTGCGCTCCCAGCGCCAAGCTCGCCCGAGTGCGCCACGGGGCGGCCCTGTGGGGTACAGTATTGAGTATCAGGACCTGTGAGCAACATGTGATACTCACATCAGGATAATTAGTACATTCAACATTACACAATGTCATCATTGTCGGTGGCCCTTTGCCACCAAATTTGCACTAACCCTCTTCCCCCTCTCCCTTTCCCACCTCTGGTGGCCTCGGTTCTGTTCTCTCCTTTTCTAAGTTCAGAGAATTGTTGTGATCGTTCTCTCTTTCTTTCTTTTATTCGTTTATTTTTTAAAGATCCCATTTACGAGTGAGGACGTGGTATTTCTCTCTCTGTGCCTGGCTTATTTCACTTAACATAATTTTTTCTAAGTTCATCCATGTTGTTGCAAATGGCTGAATTTCATTCTTTTTTATGGTACGGTAACAGTACATGGTGTATATATACCACATTTTACTTAAATTTTGTTCTTCTAAATGTCCTGGTTCTGTGCGTGCTTGAGAAGAACATGTGCTGACCACCACGCGCTGCATTCTGCATTTACCCACCAGATCAGACTCTCTGTGTTGTTCGATTTCTTTACTTTTTGTTTGCTTTGAATTTAAAAAAATTTTTGTCTATTTATTTAAATACAATTTCAAACTTCCAGAAAGGTTGCCAGAAAGTACAGAGAACTGCTGTCTGCTCTTTGTCCAGGTTTACCCGCTGTCAGCCTTTCCCGTGTTTGTTTATCCTTCGCTCTCTATACATAGACGTGCACGTGCATGTCCAGTATCTGCATTTCCTGGTCCCCGTGACAGTAAGCTGCCTGTACCAATGCCCTCTTAATCCTCAGTCCTTGGGAGCCCCACTCCAGCCTGAGCTCATCTTAGCTACGTCTGCAAGGTCTGCATCTCCAAATAAGGTCATGTCCTGAGGTACTGGGGGCTAGGATTTCCACATATGAATTTGGGGGCATCTCATAAGACGTGCCTAGGATTTCTCCTTTGCTTATTCTGCTTAAAATATGCCGCACTTCTTAGATCTGTGAATTCATTTTTTCCCCCAACCAACTGGGAAACAGCCACTATCTTTGATAATCTTGCCATTTCCCTGCATCCTCTATTTTCTGCTCCTGGCCATCTGATCAGATGTCTTTGTATGTCTCTTTCTCTCCCTGAGTGTTCTTGCTGCAGAAGCCACAGCTCCGGTCTGCCCAGTCTTCCCACCCTGCCCCTGCCTCTCCAGCTCAATGCTCATCCTGCTTTCCTTTTTGTTTATTTAGAGAGGGGGTCCCTGGATCTTTTTCCCGTTTGCCTTGAACCCGTTTTCCTGTGTGCATCATATCTGAGGTCTAATTGTTAGAGTCAGAAAGTCCCTTAAAGCCTGTAGCTAATGAGAATTATATCACCAATAATATTAACAGTGATAGCTATGAGTTATGTGGTGCCCATTATGTGCCAGGTGTTATTCTAAGCGCTTTATGTATACACATTCCATCTTCAGAGAATTCAGTGAAATAGGTCCTGGCATTGTCCTTGTCTTAGAGACGAGGAAACTGAAGCACAGAGAGGTTCAGGGGCGGCCCAAGGTCAGACAGCTGGTAGCCCCGGCAGCCTGGCTCCAAAGCCTGGGGTGTCGACGCCTTGAACTTTTGTCACAAGTAGGGTTACCAGATACATCAAATAAAGATTCACGGTTCTCATTTAATTTTGAATATCAGATAAACAGCAAATACTTTTTTTGGTATATGTATGTTTCATCTAATATTTGAGACATTTATGTTAATTTTTCGTCATTTATCTAAAATTCAAATTTAATTGGGCATTTTGTATTATATCTGGCAAGCCTAGTTATAAATTCACATGATTAGGAAATACTCTCTTTCTAAGAAATCTTATTAATATTTTGTAGGTCATTTAGATATAAATAGATCCTAAATAGACTCAATTTTTAAAAAATGTATTCTACAGAAAAGTTCCACCCTGATGGCTCCAAAGAAATCGTGTTTCCAGATGGAACCGTGAAGCGTCTGCAGGGGGGACGTGAGGAGACCTTATTTCCCGATGGGACGACCGTGAGAGTGAACAGGTCAGTGCCCCGCCCGACGGCGCCAATCTCAAGCATCCCCAATTTTTGGTTGTATTCAATAATTTCACTAGATTAACTTAGATTTTTGCAAAAGTTTAAGTATTTGTATAACTATAATAATAGAAAACGATGTCGTTATGACCCTAGAAGTTTTGTCTTATGACCTCGATTAGAACTTCTTCCTGGTGAATGTGGCTTTAAGCACTGACTCTCAGGGACCTACCTGGCTGACGCTGGTCACGCCTGGATCGCAGCCATACACGTAACTCCAGTCTTCAGCCATGGCTGCCTTGGGCCATGTTGTCTGGAGGCCCAAGCCTGCTGTGGAACTCACGCAAATGAACATTCAAAGCACACTGAGAAGGTGCTCATCAGATTTCCTGTTTCAGTACTAGTGTGTGCAGAGAGGAGATGCGACGAGGTCATGCCCGCCATCCCGCTGCCTGCGCGAGAATTTGGGGGTAGCCTTAGACCTTCCCTTGCCTGCACCCTAACACTCCAGCAACTCCTCCTGTCCTCGCCAGTTTTCCTCCAGCAGACAAAGCATCCCGTGTCACCTCCGGGGTCATGTTTCTTGAGTGATGACACACTGTGCTCATGTCCCTCCCTCCGTCAATCTGCCATCTCCTCTCACCTCCAAGGTCACGCTGTCAGCACAGGTCTCAGACTCCTGTGGACAGGCCCAGCTACCATCTGGCCTGTGTCCTGCACTCTCCTGCCCATCTTTTCTCAGCCATGTGAGCTTCCGTCCATGCCCCAAACCCACAGTGTGCTTCTCCCGCCCTAGCCTGTGTACGTTCTGTGTCTTCACCTACCGAGCTCTGGGATGAGGGGTCCAGACCTGGGTGTGGGTCTCTCAACCATACCTGCCTCCACACGGCAGCGTGGGCCACCGTGCAGCGTATTACAGGCATGTTTCTCCTCCACCAGGAATGGCGACAAAACCATCCTGCTCAGCAATGGGCAGAAGGAAATCCATACGGCCCAATTCAAGAGGAGGGAGTACCCCGATGGCACCGTCAAGACCGTGTACTGCAGCGGCTGTCAGGAAACCAAGTACGCCTCTGGGCGGGTGCGGATCAGAGACGGGATGGGAAATGTCATCCTGGACAAGAAGTAGGTCAGCCCTCAAAACACAACATTACCCATAAAATTCCAATCACGTTTTTTGCTAAAATAGAGACAAAAACTGATTATTTATTTGCTGGCCAAAACGATCTTGGAGAGCCACCAAGACTTTAGGACTACCCGAGTTTTCCAGAAATTGTAAAGGCAAAGACGTTCTATTCCCTGTTTAGGAAAAGTGGCTGGAACAGCACAGGTCAGAGAAGGTGAGGCTCACAAAGGAATGACGTCCAGTGGCCCCAGCAAGGCTGCGTCCTCTTTGCTTGTCCCAGGACGGAGCGGGTCTCAGCAGGGCCACTTCTCAGGGGAAGTTAAGAAACAGAGTGCCTCCTACTCTGCATGGCACAGAGGTGTGGGCACGGTTCATCCCTCCAGAATTACACAGGCTCAGCCTGACCGATTCCTCTCGATCCCCTGTCCTTGCTGGGACAGATGTGGAGGTGATTCTCATGACTGCAAGTGGACCCGGGCAGCGTCTGACTCAGGGTTGGAATGAGGTAGTTACTGTGGCCGGACGCTGCCCAGCCAGTAAGTCACCCCTGAAACTCTCGACTTGTTCATCCCAGTGTGAAAACAATGGCCAGATACTTACTCTCCTGCTGTTTTGCAGGCTGCCTAGAAAACACAAAAGCAAATTGGCATCTAACTCATTTTTATACTAAAATGTAGAATCCCCATAACATAGAAAGGAAATAATTTCTTGAAAATCTTATCATAAGATGCATATTTATTTAGATTTTTAAAATATGTACTCATGTCTGTGTGGAGATGAAATGTCATACTTTAATACCAGTGACTATATTACTCCTAAAACATATTGAGCGCACATTATTGAGTCCTTGATATTTTAGTAATGCTATTTAAAGTAACTCACGAATAATGTGCTGTCTTGGCTTTGAAGGGAAAAAAAAAAAAGAATTCTACTGCAGTTACACTGGCTGGAGTGGAAACTCCATGCAGACGGCACAAAGTTTAAAACGTACCAAGTTGCACTGGCGAAAAGTCAAACTCCCCCGTCCCACACCCCACCCGCTTCCCCGTTCTCTGGAGCCCCCTTCCAGAAACATTCCCAGCAAATGTGAGCAAATTCTTACACACTCTGTCGGGAGAGAAATCCGCACACAGTCGTGGGCTTCCTTGACCCGTTGTTTTGCTCTTGGCCTCTTCCCTAACAATTTATTTTGGAGGAGGTCTTAAATCACGACAAGCCGCCTCCTTCTTTCTGGAGGAGCCAACGTTTCTTTACTTGGTCCCCTTCTGATGACGGTGAGGTTCCTTGCAAGCCTCTGTTCTTAACCCAGTGCTACGGCCTCACTCCGGCCCTTCCCATCCATGGGACCCTCTGGGTGCCAAAGCTTTGGGCCTCGGTTTCCCCGCCTGTGCTCCTGGCTCTGGGCTCCTGCTTGCCCACCGACAGTGCCCCTAGGGCCAGCCCCAGCAGCGGGAACAAGTGGACCCCCGTCCTGCTGTGGGGGCTCAGCCGTCCTACTGGCCCTGTTCCCTCTGAGCAGACCCCCACAACCCCCTCAAGTCTGGGCTCTAAAGAATGTTATAGGGGAAATGAAAACTTGAAGCTTACGAGGACAGAGACCTGGCAGCCACCACCTGCCCCACGTGACGGGGCGAACGTCCCCAGCATGTGGTGCGCATGTCACGTACAATGTGCGAGGAGAAGGATGTCTCGCCTCTTGATTGTTCTTTCCAGAACCCAGAACCCCAGTCTGACCAGGACAGAAACATCACGGAGACCACACTGAGGGGCGCTCTACAAAGTGCCCGGCCCAGACGCCTCAGAACCGTCGAAGTCTTGAAAAACCGTTACGGACAAGAGGAGACTCAAAAAAACACAACAACACAGATAGGACCCTGAAAATAAGAGGACATTCATGGGAAAACTGTGGAAACCCAAGGAAAGCCCAACATTTCATTAATCGTTGAGTGCCGAGGCGGGTTGGTGTGGCGGCTGTACCAGGGCAAGGTCTTAACAACAGGGGACCGGGTGCAGGAGGTGAGAAATCCTATGTCGCAGCAGAGCAACTGCTCACATTTTACTGCAAATCTCCAGCCTTTCCAAAATAAAAAAGTTTGTTTTAAAAAAGCTCTCGTGGAGGTCTTTAAAATGTTATCTTTTTAAAAATGCGTTTAACAAACATGCACATAGCACTTAACCTGCTCAAAGCACTGTGCTAAGTGCAGCCCCAACGTTACTGCTTCCTCTGGTGCTATCACACCTAGTACCTGTGCAGGTGTCGAGCGCCGGCGGGACCTTCTCAGCCACCCCTCACTGTGCTGCCTCTCGGCTCGTGTCTGCCACCTCTGGTCTACACTGTGTCACCCGAGGCTGGCCTCAGCCCCGTCCTTAATTGCCAAAAAAACCAAACAACTCCCCAAAGCAAACACAAACAAAGCTGTTCTCCAGAGACATTGGTGGGTACGGCAGCCCTCACCAAAAGATTGGAGGAGTGGAGTGTTTTAACATCACAGAACCCAGCCCTGAGGCGAGTGTCGGATGTCTCTGGCCTTTCAGAAGTAGTGTCTGGGTCACCTCCACCAGGAGGGGTGCCTGGCCCCGGCCCCTCTCCCCACCCTCCCTCCCACCCCAGTTCCTGGGCATAGCTCTTGCCAAGGTTGGCTCTCCTCTCATTTACTACCTTCTACCCTGTCCATGCCATGGGGGAGAAGGTTTTTGCAACTGGCTCTTTTTCACAATGGAAACATAGACATGGCCTGAGACTGGAGTCCCTCAAGCAGCAAAGTTCAAATGGAACAGCCCTGGCACACGAGAGGCCCAGTTTCAGCTATGGATTGGCATAGACATGGCCTGAGACTGGAGTCCCTCAAGCAGCAAAGTTCAAACGGAACAGCCCTGGCACGCAAGAGAGGCCCAGGATCAGCTATGGATTGGCGACTGCAGGCAGGATTTCAGAGCTGGGGGCAAAGAGGGACCCTGGAGGTGCTCAAGGTTCTCCTTGCTTTGCAGCTGAAGCCAAGGCCCCAGGGGGAGCACTAGTCATGGCAGGGCTGTCCCTGCCATGGAGCCGTGGAGAGGAGGTGTGGAGGGCGTGCGGGTGGCCTGCCGCTGCTCAGGAGTCACACAGGATTAAATAAGGGTGAACCCATCAGCCCCGCTCCCTAGGCCTGGCCTGGGCTCGGAGGCCCGGGGAGTTGGGCACCAAGGTGGCGCAGACCTGCCCCACCTGCCTCAGCGGAGTCGGCTCCAGCTCTGGGCCCTGAGCAGGGGTTGCTCCATCCTGTGACTGTGGCGAGTGAAGGGGTCTCCTGCCTGAAGATGCCTGGAGTTCCCATCACACACATGTGCACACATGTGCGCGCGCGCGCGCACACACACACACACACACACACACACACACACACACACACACATGCTCACGGTGGAGCCACTGTCACACGGTCAGGCTGGATGAAGAGAAAGCGTGTTCCTCCAGCCCAAAGCTCAGCTGAACGGGGCCCTGCGAGGAGGTGGCTCTGCCCTGCATGGATCCCCACCCACCCCTCCAGGGCCAGTGTGCCCATCACCAGGTTAACCCTCCCTGTTGAGTTAGGAGCTGCCCGCCCTGGTAAACATGCCCCAGGTTGCCGAGGGGAGAGAACAATTCAGCCCCCACCCCCCACCACAAACTGGGCTAATTCACAGAACAGAGAGGTGTGGGGTGCAGGAGGGGGCCGGGTGGGCTCAAGGGCAGGGGGTACACCCAGGGAAGGCCCTTCCTCATTTTGTCTGGAGGCAGCAGTGGCCTGGTCTCTCTCAGCCAGGCTGAGACCCCCCAGCACAGCCCAGGTTCAGGGATTAGGTCCCTCTGCAGAGCGGGGTGGACCCCACCCCTGAGGCTCACCCGGGCCGCAGGAGTCCCTGGGACCTAATAAGACACACAAATCAGCAGGCGGGCTGCAGGCCCTGGGCATGCAAGGACAGGGAAAACTGAGCCTGCCCTTGGCGATCCCGCTGCCCCCGAGCCTGGCCTGGCACCTGGGCATGCCCGCAGACCCGACATCGAGAGAATGAGCCTGCCACGGGGAATGGCGGGCACGTGGCCCAGCTGTTGGGGGAGCCCAGCCCAGGTGCCCAGCAGCCCACAGCCTCCTTCCCGCCCTGGCTCTGACCAGCCCTGCACTTCTGTCTGGTCAGGAGGACCAGGCAGGCCTGCGTGCATGAACCAGAACAGCAGGAGGCCACCGGGAGGAGAGAAAAGCTGGAAACCTGCTTGAGGAAGGTGGCGGTGTCCCCAGCTCTGATCTCATGGGGGGATCTAGAGGGAAATGTCCCCTTTTATCACTCTCCCAGGAGGGAACCTGCCCCAGGCCTGCCCACCTTCCCACCACCAGCACCCCCAGCCTTCCATGTCTCAGGAGAAAGCAGCAGGCTGGCGACCCAGGCTCCTTGACACAGCAGCAGCCTGTGACTTCATCATCGGCGGTCGGCCTCACTGTTCACATCTGCTAAATGGGAATATTTCTCACTCTCCTCCTGAGCAGATGGCTCCTTAAGTACCCGGCCACAGAAGAAAGAGCCCTGGACCCAGTTCATGATGGGCAGTGATGCCATGAGACCCACTGTGTGGGCTCCCACAGCCTCATGATAAGAAGCTCGGTCACTGCTCTCAAGGAGCACCTGAGAGTAACAAGACCCAAGTCAGGGATTTGGAGCCCAAAAGAGAGTGTCCAAGCAGTTCCAGGCAAGGCTGCCTTCCTCCCCACACAAGCGACATGCACGTGTTCAGTAGAGGCGAGACAGTCGGAGGCCTGCCCGGGAGCGTTGGAGGGCACGGTGTGGACTGAGCTCCCTGGGTTGTCTGGAGCTGGTACCAGAGCACTGAGA